CAAAGCTGTTGTATATTAACTTTCATTTAAAATTAAATTATTTGAGTCTCTCTTATCCTTTCAAACAAGCCAGTTTTCTCTCCTCATCCTTCTGTTGCTTTTGTAAATGCAGAGTATTTTTAATGCCATAATTTACGCTTCAGCCTGAAGTATGGTTTCAGGCTGGGAGCTAACTACAGGTGCTATTTGAAAGGTTCAGTTGAAAAGGGACCTGTCCCTTTTAAAGACAAGCAGGCGATTGTACGATGCCTCTGTATCGTGTTTGTAGTGCGTGTCACAGTGTTTTGCAGTCGGATACAAGTCGAGCTGGAGAAGTGTAGTAGTACTGGTTTTCTCAGTTGCCCAAATGAGTGGCAACAAATGAAACAGTTTTGAAAAATGTTTTGATGTCTGTGTAGTCTTGGCATGTAGCCCAAAAAAAAGGAAAAAACAAAAGGGGGTATGACCAGTGGTGCCAAAACATCAAAAGGCTGCAGTGGTCATCAGCTTTTTTATGGGACTAGTTATATAACAGCAGCTCCTGAATTTCATGGGAACACAGCTATCTTTTTAAGAATTTTCAGATTCTTCTTTCAATGTACTTTATTTTAAATAACTGATGAGGGAAAAACAACAGAACAGTTGTTCAGGCTGTAGCAAGTTACAGTCTTAAGAACTGTTCCGCTCTGGGTTTTGTTCAATTCTGTTAATTGTTTAAATGTTTTGAGAGAAAAGTGTTTAGCCCTTAACATGGTCCATTTCAGGGTGTTCCTTGGGAATTTTGTCTTAACAAATTCTCTGTTCCATGCAAAACCTGGACAGTAAGAACATTTCTCATCTTCCTCCTTGCTTTCTGTAGCTGCTATAGTTGTGGCTTTTTTTTTCTCCTGACATGTCTAAAGTCAGTTGTGATAGGGTAGACCATAACTCTGGTAGTATCTTCCAGATGTATGTTTCTACATTCTCTTCTTTTTGAGCTATCTTCAGTAGTAGTCTTGCACTTAATTGGTAGTCTTAACAGAGATATAAAAAACTATTAAGTAATGAGATTGCTCATTGCAATGAGTTTTGTCTATTTTTCCTGAAGAGAAAGCTAAGGGTCAGTTGATACACTTGTGTTTAATGTGCGTTCTTAATATCTGATTTTTTTTTTTTTGTCCCAGTACTTACTATGCTTGACTTGCCATTAGAAAATAAAACAGTACAGAAAGCTGTTCTTTCCTGATGTTCTTACACTTGGAAAAAGTTACAGGGTGGACAGATACCTTAGCAAAAAAAATGCCTTTGAGGTGTTTTGTGTAGTTCTGGGAGGTGACCCAACTTCTGTAAGCCTTGCCTCTGCATGGGGGATTTGTCAGTGTAGTGTAGCAGTTAATCCTGTCTTGTGCAAGTCAGATCCTGGATTGCAAAACTATTAAGTCTTCAAACAGCTCTCCCTTATCTGCCTCAAGTATGTACTTTTTTTTTATTCTTCAATTATATTTTTTTTAAATACATCTCTCTGTTGAAAAAAAGGAAGTGTAGTGTGCAGCAAACTCCTTTCAAACCTCAAAGAAATTCAAAATTCTGATTTGAAAATTTAGTTTCAACATTTACAAATTTAGTTCAAGCACAGGTAGCAGAAAGGAACTTGTTCAAAACTGGTGCATACCTATGTGCTTTATTTCATGTTTGTGTTCAGTTTCACTGCAACTGAATGCATCTTTGTGAGTGAAAACCTCGTTCCCAATATGGTAGTGCTATCAAGGATGGGAGCTTTAAAATCAGTACCCAGTCTGTGCTACTTCTAGGGATCTACGGCAGTGGGTGAATCGTGTCGTGTTTCTCCCAAATGGTTGTATTGTCTGTCAAAATTCAATGTTTTTCAGACAGTAAAAGTCTACCTGGGATCAAATAATTGTGCTCTAGTTAGTGGGTTCTTAGGATGCAACAGCAGATGTAATATCCTCATAATATGAATAAGATCATAGTGTAGAGGCTCTGTAGATATTTGCCATGTGAAGAGCCTCTGACCTCTGTATTTTGAGAAATTAAGGGTGTTTGGTGGTATATTGCTGCTACTGAAGTCTGGTGTCTAAATGAAATATGAACAGCCAGTATTTGTTTGGTTTTTTTAGAGGGAAGGCAGAGAGGAGTAGATTCCTACCCCTTGTTAGGTAGTTTCTTGTCGTGGTTTAACCCCAGCCAGCAATTAAGCACCACGCAGCCACTCACTCACCCCCCACACACCCCCCAACCAGGGGGATGGGGGAGAGAATCGGGAGGGTGGGGGAGAAAACTTGTGGGTTGATATAAGAACACTTTAATAGAGCAAAAAGGAAGAAACTAATAATAACAATAATAAAATGTCAATAATAATAAAAGAATGGGAAAATACAAAACAAGTGATGCACAATGCAATTGCTCACCACTCGCGTACTAGTGCCCAGTTAGTTCCCAAGCAGTGATCCCCTCCAGGCCAACTCGCCCCAGTTTATATGTTGGGTATGACGTCCCATGGTATGGAATACCCTGTTGGCCAGTTTGGGTCAGCTGCCCTGGCTGTGTCCTGTGCCAACTTCTTGTGCCCCTCCAGCCTTTTTGCTGGCTGGGCATGAGAAGCTGAAAAATCCTTGACTTAGTCTAAACACTACTTAGCAGCAACTGAAAACATCAGTGTGTTATCAACATTATTCTCATGCTAAATCCAAGACATAACACTATTCCAGCTACTAGAAGGAAAGTTAACTTTATCCCAGCCAAAAACAGGACATTTCTGCACTCCAAATTACCTTCTGTTTATTTGTATTTTGAAAGTTGGAGAATATCTTCTGTGAACATCTTTCCTAAGCTTATTCGAGCACTTTACTATTACAATTACCTGTTAATAGAATGGTTCGTTATATGAATGGGCAAATGTACTTAAAGCTGTAATTAAAGATGTTTGCTTAGTCTTGCCACATCTGATGGGCATGAAGCCAGGGCACCTTTCTTCATGTTAAGTTATGATTCTTTGATCTTTCCAAATAGGTATATATTTGGCTGTGCTTTTTTTGACTTGGTTCAGTAGGTTTTGCTGTTCCAAGAGAGAGATGTGAAAGTAATTATTTGATTTTTATTGCATTCTATAATTAATTGTAATTCTTTTGTGTTTGAAGTTTAATATGGTCACATCAAGGTCTGTTCTGTATTGAGTAAGTCTTTGTGGAGCCTGCCTCTGCCCTTCAGTGAAAGACTTACAAGACGGTCCTAAGGCCATCTGCAGACTTTCTAAGCTTTAAGTTAAGCTAAAATTTTTCAACAATGCTGAACTGTCTTAGTTATTAATTGAAAAACAATGTCACTGAACAACCGAAGAATGCACTGGCACTGTATTTTGAGGAAAACCTGTGTTTGCTCTGCCTTTACCCTTTGATGACTGAAAGCTCTGTAGCTACAGTTAGTGTAGCACTAAGTGGACGTATTTTTGCTTAACTTCTACGCAGCCCAGAAAAAACAACCAGGGATAGATGACCTTTGGTGAACTCAGGGTAGACTCACTGGTATGTGTGTCTGAAAAATATCATTCATGTTTCCCAGCTATTTTTAAAAATAATTTTACACAAGGTTTACTTACAGCTTTACATTTTGTTTAGGTATTTGACTACTTTTCTTCTATCGCTTACCTGAGAAACTGCTTTATTCCTAATATTAAAAGGGAAAAAGCAGAAAAATACTAATATGTGTATACATTCATGTTTTTTCTTTAAATGCTTCGTGGTAGTGCTCTACAAATCAGACACTTCTTGAATTTTATTTTGCCTATTTTATTGGAGCATCTCTGATAAACCTACTACTGTCCTTTGTAGAGTTTTGCTATGGGTAGTAATATACTGAGTGAAGAATTAACAGATTTCTGGTCATTGATATTATCCTTTCTGTAACTCTGTTTTAGGCCCAGCTCAGGGAAATTCTTTTTCTCTCTCCACCTCACCTCTGTCCCCAAATGAATGAACAATCCCCCTAACAATACAGGTGATTGGTGCCTTGGGGCATCTTGTGTTAATTTTGAAAGGGCTGCCACCAGTGACAAATCCCTGCAATATCATACAAAGACAAAACCTTTTCATTCTATAACCATTAACTTTTTTGGGATTTTTTTTGCTGTGATTTCAAGATACTGTAGGCACAGAGGGTTGAAGATCTGTTTCAGATAAACTTTTTTTGAATGTAAGTTTTGAGAGGTTAGTGTTGTGTGTGAGACTTGGACATTTTAACATGTCATTATTTAAATTACGAGTCAAGGCTGTTTCATGTTGTGTTCGTATAGCACTTTCCTAGAGTATTTGTAAACCGTATATGCCAACAGAATTTGCATCTGTTAAAAAACAATTTTGGAGAAAATACTGGGGGTTTTTTTAATCAAGATATTTTGCTTAACTGTTTTTGTCATCCTTTCTTGCATCTTTTCTGTGTGCGCATTTTCATCATATATGTGTGGTAAAATCATAAGTGTTCTTCTGTTTTACATTTTTGCTCACTTTATTTACCAAACAATTAATATTAGTAGATGAGTAATACAAGTCTTTTGTTGCATGTTTTTATGTAAAAAGTTTGAAGAAGTATTGTCTTTAAAATAAACACTATTTCTGTGTGAAGACAGCAACAAATGATCTGAAAACTTTTGTAGGGATTTACAGCTTTATTTCTGACATTATTTTCAATAGGAAAATTATTCTGAAATGCACATAAAGCTTTATTCTCAGCCGTAATCTGGGATTGCTCTTGAGATAATGATCATGAAAAAATTGATACCCTTTAGCTTTATAAAGTATCTTAACATATTTGGTAGAAACTACAGTGTCAAGCAGAGGTATTTGATGGTAATCTACTGCTCAGAAATAATTGTACTGAATGGGATGTCATTGAAAGAAATTAGTAATATGGTGATCACTGCTGTTGTTATGTTATACATTCATACGTATATGATGTTTAACTTCCATAGACAAATATGTTTTATGCTTTGCTGTGAAAAATACAATATCAGTTTTTCCATATTGTAGATTAAATAAGATTATGAATCAGGTGGCCATTCAGCGGAAGAAGCAGTTTGTTGAACGCGTGCACAGTTACTGGTTGCTTAAAAGACTGTCTAGGAATGGTGTTCCTCTGTTGAGAAGGCTGCAGTCCAGTTTACAGTCACAAAGAAACACACAACAGGTATGTGACACACTTTTTACTTGTAAGAAGAAATGAGAAAATCTCTATCTTATAGAGTAAAAAATTAACCAGGAAACATAGCATGGACTAAAAACTTCCTCTTATTCAGGACTAAGTAAATTCTTTACCTTATTCTTAAGTGATATGACCTATATTGGAAATTGGGCATTATCTAAACCTTTTTAATTTGTACAATGTGTGGCGGGGGGGAAGCTGGGGGAGGGTTTTTTTGTTTTGCTTAAATGTTTCACAAAAATACTGTTACCAAAACTATCCTAATACCATTGTTTGTTAAGTAGTATTGTGGGTTTTTTGAAACTCATTCCTCAATGTGCTCTGAGTTAGTAAGATAAAAAATTTTATTTTAAATTCATGAGAAGGTGCAAAGCAAATGTCACTATTGACACTGATAACTGAGAAAAACAGGGATTTTTACAAAGTACAGTTAGACATGCTAATTTACAGTTTTCTAGTTACATCCTTATTGCCCACCTTGTTTGGTAATAATAGAACAAGGAGCAAGTTGTTGATGAAGTTCAAAGACCTGCTTCAACTTTCAGTTTCACTTTTGACATAGTTAAGAGGGATTGTAGACAAGCATAAAAATTTATGCTGATAATTTGTTCAAGTAAAACTCATCCTAGGTAAAATACGTCTAGGCTGGTTAAAGTTGTACATGTTTAGCAGTCAGAATTGCTGAAAACCAGTCACTCCACATGGGTATCAGATTCGGAAAGCAGTACTCTTCTGCTTCCCATTTTTGTAACACGAACGCTGCTTCCCATCTTTGTAATGTGAACAGCTCTTCAGTGACATTAGAGGTTTTGGCAGGTCTTTTGTTGTTTTGGTTTAAAGTCACTGGGTGGCTTCAAAAATAATTAAAACTTCTTTTCTGAATTCTGTACATGGATCCCTGTGTGTAGACTTTGAAATACTGTGAAGCATCATGGTGTGGAAATTCTTAGTGCATCCCAGTTACCTCTTTTAATTGAACTGAAAATGTAGTTGGCTGTGTTCTTTCCATTCTCCAGGTGTTTGACTTCCAGTAGAATTATTCCTGTAAAATAGCCTCTAGAACTTAAGAATGCATTGTATAATCATTTACTTATATTAAATTGAGATTTTTTTCCCCTTTAAAACTTAACTATTATTTTTGTTAGAATTGCATTGCTATTTGCTGATTTAAGTCATTAAATGATGTAGTCATAAAAATACCATGGTCAACACTGCTTCCTAATTATTTGATCTGTCATTTTTCTGTGTGTGTTTCTTTTCTTAGCTTTTCATGGAAGTAATTAATAATTTCCAGAACAGTTGAGGTTGGAAGGGAGCTTTGCAGGTCATCAGGTCCAACACCACTGCTCAAGCAGGGCCAGCCATTTAGAGCAGGTTGCCCAGCACCGTGTCCAGACTGCTTTTGAGTATCTCCAAGGATGGAGACTCCACAGCCTCCCTGGGCAGCCTGTGCCAGTGCTTGGTCACCCTCACAGTAAAAATTAAAAAAAAGAAGTGTTTTGTGATGTACAGAGTGACCCTCCTGTTTTTCACTTTGTGCCCATTGCTTCTCGTCCTATCACTGGGCACCACTGAAAAGAATCTAGCTCTGCCTTCTTTGCACCCTCCCTTCAGGTATTTATATACATCAACGAGATTCCCCTCCACCCCTCCTTACCCTGAGCCTTTTCTGCTCTAGGCTAAACAGTCCCAGCTCTCTCAGCCTTTCCACATAGCTGAGATGTTCAAATTCCTTTTAAGTGGAATTAACTTTGACTATAAATTGGCCACTTGTTTATCTTTCTTTCATTGCTTCTGTATTAATCCATTTTAATACTATTATTTGGGTTGTAACTTCTCTGAAATATTTTGTATTCTGCTTTTAAACTCTGATTAATCTTTTAATTCTGTATGAGAAGTTTCTATTCTGATGAGTGATGCCTGGCAGTTACCTACTAATAGCTGAAATTAATTTATTCAGATAGTAGACTTTTTAAATGAGTTTGAGTTCTTTAAAAAATAGTAAAAATCAAGCACAAAAGTTTGGGGCTCCTGTGGTACTATAGACCTAGACTATAGTTAGTGTCTGAAAAAATTACACTTGCTAGTTGGTAGTTGGGAAGTACTTTTCCTATTGAGATGGCATGATGAGACTGCAACATTTCCAAATATTTAAATAGTAACTACCAAAATAAAACAATTCTTATAACTGATGTTTGATTGTAATAAAATAAGCCTTAGGAGCTGGTTAAAAGCCCTTTGCCTCTTTGCATTCCTGTACAAACACTATTTCTTTCTTTTCTTTTCTAATTTCAGAACTATGCACTATTCTTAAGTAAGAAAGTAATTAAAATGTTTCCTAAATTAATTGGAAACATTGGTTTATTAAAAACTGGGGCACTTCTGTGACTTCATTCTTAAAAACTTATAACTGAAATTAACTTTGTCTTTTGAAAAAGCAAGTTTCAAGCAAAGCTGAGTATTAAATGATTCTGTTGATGAAAAATATGTAGGCAGTGCTTTTCACCACGTAGCAAGTGTCCTGTCTATGACATTGTGTCTTCTGCATAGCATCTTCAATATATATTTTTAATACCTATTAAAGTAGTCATAACTGCAACACATTTGATGCATTAGTCATCTTTGTTACTCCAAGTATAAGCCAAACCATAATGAAGACTTTAATAAACAGCTGTGGCATAACTGTTGTGAGAATGCCTCAATTTTTGAGAAATAGATGGGAAAATACTTCTTATTTTGTGAGAGGTCAGAATGTCAATAAACCTAAATAGGTTTTCAGTCAATCAAAGGAACATAAACACTGATGTAATACAGATTCAGAGGAGAATTTTTTAAATTATCATTATTATTTAAATGGAAAAGAAATGTTAAGATGAGGAACCAAACCCCTGACAATGGTTTCAAGATAGATGCCTAGTGGAAGGTGGTTTTGATCCCCTCTCTAATGTTTGTTTACTAGAACAAATTTGGCAGGGGGTGAAGCGTGCATGATTTAAAATTACTTCCTAATGAACGTGTTTCAGAGCTCAGTTATGATATGCTTTTGAAGCTGATGTTGTATCAGGTAACAGTTCTAAACCAGGGAAGAGGATCTTGGCTTATATACTACCTCACCATCTGCAGGAACAAGGAACCCTCTGAAAGAATGGTTTATACTGTCATTTCTCTTTCCACCTAGAAATTCAGAAAAAGTAGTGGAAATACTCTAATAAATTTACATCCCCGTTATTTTAGGTTTTTTTCTGTACTTAAAGAATGCTTGAATAAAAATAAGGAATGAAATTTAAGTGTAGTAGCTTGTTGCTGCTGTAGTGAGGTTGGTTTAAAACTGCTGTTCAGAGAAACAAAGTAGAAGGTGCTGGTGACTAAGTTCATATCTGCACTGAAGATTTCAGTAAGAACACAAGTTGCAACCACTAAATGGTTTTGACTGATTGGCATACAAGTGCCAGCAGAGGGTCTCAATAAAAATAATTGTATTGATCAAGATCCAGTTTCATCACTGTAATTCTATTTTTGTTTGACTCGTATTAAGTTACGGTCCCTGCAGGGAGTGAGGCTGTCCTCATGTGTTCACATCCAGAGTAAGGAGTGATCTGTTGGTACACTAACATTATTCCTGCTGGTATGCAGAGAGTGCTAACATACTCATGGTGGGAGTTGGAGCGGAAGACCAGTTCTCAGTTGATGAAGGTTCTGTGTGTAGACTTAGAAGTGTTTCCCTCTTCCCTCAGTGTTAGTAAATGTGTCAGTTTTAGCTTTTCTAGATAGTATTTGGTGTTCAGCAAGAACTAAGTCCATCAGAAAATATCACGGTTTCTTTCTAAATTTTTCTTGTGTTGCCAGCCAGAAGAAAGTTTCTGGCTTCTTTATGGAAAGAAAGATTTGGAAGAAAAACTCTTTACCAGGAAGTTAATAGAAACTTTCCTTGTCAGAAAGCTTTTGAAAACTAAAAATTTTGAAGGGAACTCTTCATCTAAGTTTTTACTAGTTAGATACTGGAAACCAGCGCATCATGCTCTTTTCAGCTTGCCTGGATCTTCTCATCTAGTTAAGGTATCTCTTATATGTCAGATAATAAACAGGTTAGGGTAAAGTGGGTTTATCTTGGCTATTACAACCATGTCTGCCAACATTACTTTGCATAGAAGTGTCCAAAAATTGGAGGCTTGCTATTAATCACCAAGCCAGAGTGATGTTCAAGAAGGGGGGGCGTGTGTGCACAAAAAAAAGCAAAGAAGGTGCTCTTGATACTTTGGATCAAATCTGCAGTTTTACACCTACCTGCCTATTTTATGAAATGAAATTGGTCAAACAACTGATTCAACTAAAAGGATTTTTTTTTTTTTTTGAAGTGCAACTCCACCTTCAGGTTTAGCCAAATACTTAAGTCTCTAATGAACTACCCCAAGATCTGATGTAACTAATAACATTTTTTTTCTTGCTGTATTTAAGTTTCCTGACCCACCCTAAAACTAGTATGGTTTTGTTGACTTAGCGTTCAGCAGGATCAGTTCCCCAGTTTCATGAACTATGCAATTACATAGGGCAAAAGAGCAGACTCTGAATGGCTGCAAGCAAAGGGAGGACAAGCATTCCACTTTTAGCAGTAGCCACAACTTAATTTTGGTCCTGAAAAACAGTGAAACTATGAAAAAGTTGTATAGCTATGTTAGTTAACAGTTAGGTTGCTTTTCCACACATGGGACCTGTATTTAGAGATGAAGGGGTGAAGGAGAACAGCAATTAGTGGCAGCGTAGACTTTCTAATTCAGTGAGTCTCTGAGAATTTTAAGGAATTGAAAATGTGCATATTACTATTTGTTCTGTCAAAATTTACTTTGGTCTATTCTGACCCTCAGCAGTTCAATTATTTGTCTAAGTCAAGACTTAACTCCTTAAAAGAAATGATAACTGTTAGTAGTAAGAGTCATTAGGAAAGGGAACCTAGAAGTTTCTAGCTACAATTTTTCAGTCTTTTTTTCTTGGGGTTTTTTTTTTTTTTGAAAAGAGGAACAAACTGTCGTTTCCAGATTGCTATATTGTAGTACAGAGATAGTTGATAGTTAAGGATTTTCAACTTCAGTGAACCCAGAGTTTTGAATAAAGCTAGTTTCATAGCTTCCACAGCTACTTGCCTTTACTTTTACAAAGTTTATAAAGCAATAATTCTATGCAGATCATAGAATCATAGTGCTTGCAAATCTATTAGATATTTTTGTAAACTGCCAGTTTTTGCAATTCTATTTCTAGAACCTTTTGTCTGAAAAATTGCACAAGCCTCCTTTAGAGGACCTATGATATTTGTAAATTATCTTTCTGTTAAGGAGGTTTTTGCTTTGTGTGTAACAATTTGCAATGTTGATTATTGTTCATCTGCTTCGCCAGTTTTCTTTATTCCTCTGCCGTCTTTTTTTTGTAACTTAGGGAATTTATTGTTTGTTTTAGTTTAAAAAGAACCCACGACGATCACTTATCAAGTATGTATTGCGTTATGCTAGTTACAGGCAAGCATACAAAGCTTTGAATTGCTTTCTGAGATTCTTTTATAAAATATTCATTTGAACTGTAATAATTTTCCAAAGCAGATGTTTCTTTTGTGTACTTGGTACTAGTACTAGGTACTAGGACTTGGTACTAGGACTTTTACTTTTTTATGGCCTTGTTTCTGGCAAATTACCAATACCATTTGAATACTATAGGTAGTATTCCAATATCATCCTTTTTCTTATGAAAAATAGTAAAAACAAACAAGAAAGTCTCTGTTTTCTGTATGTACAAATCAAACTAAATACTGCAATTGTTTAAACACTACTTCCTAAAAATATGTGAATTAAATTCTTTCATCCATTCACTGAAAGGTTGTATTACTGCATTTACCCATTTGCAGTACCATTTGAAGGTACTATATTATTTAATAAACTGCTTTTCATTTCCTGTCCTCAGAAGTCATAATGATTTTGTTCTGCAACAAGTGTGTCCTAATTCTGCTGGGTGCAGTGGAGGTGGATACTTGAGTTTCTGAAGAAGCTGATGATGTTCACCTCGTTTGGATTTTGATGTGAAAATACTGAATCTTATTTTGCAAATTGTTATACTGCTGGGTTGCTGTTTGCTATACTGCATTTTCTTATGTAAATAGCCTTCATCATAGGATTGCTTCCCTGTTTATAGATTTTGTTTTCAGCTAGATGGTTGAGAAACTCTAGAAGATATCCTCTTTTGTTGCAGTATGAAGCTTATGACCAAGTGCCATAGCTATAAGACAGTAGTTTCTCCTTTCCTGTGAATATGTTCTGTAATTGCATAAAACTAGCTTATAAAAAGTGGTTAGCATTTTTTATTTCATAAAAACCTTTTGATTCTTTTCTTAGAGAGAAGATGATGAAGAAATGCAAGCCTTAAAAGAAAAATTGAAGTACTGGCAAAGGCTGCGCCATGATCTTGAAAGAGCGCGTTTGTTGATTGAACTTATACGTAAACGTGAAAAATTAAAAAGAGAACAGGTAAATGGAGTACCTTTTAATTTGGTGAAACTTTTCTGAAGGAAAGATAGTTTAAGTGTTCTCACACACAGTTTTTGCAACAGAAAGACTGCAGTGTTCGTCTCCTAATCCTCACATAGGATCGAGAAACATATGTACATGCATGTGCTCATGCAAACTGTTTAAAATACATAAAATTATCATAGAATCACAGAATGGTTTGGGTTAGAAGGGATTCTTAAGGGTCATCTAGTCCACCCCCCCCTGCAATGAGCAGGGACATCTTCAACTAGATCAGGTTGCTCAGAGCCCTGTCCAACCTGACCTTGAATGTTTCCAGGGATGGGGCATCTACCACCTCTCTGGCCAACCTGTGCCAGTGTTTCACCACCCTCATCGTAAAAAATTTCTTCCTTATATCTAGTCTGAATCTACCCTCTTTTAGTTTAAAACTATTGCCCCTTGTCCTATCGCAACAGGCCCTACTGAAAAGTGTGTCCCCATCTTTCTTACAAGCCCCCTTTAGGTACTGGAAGGCTGCAATAACATCTCCCCGGAGCCTTCTCTTCTGCAGGCTGAACAACCCCAACTCTCTCAGCCTCTCTTCATAGGAGAGCTGTTCCATCCCTCCAATCATCTTGATGGCCCTCCTCTGGACCTGCTCCAACAGGTCCATGTCTTTCCTGTGCTGAGGACCCCAGAGCTGAACACA